CCAGGAGAACGCTTGCTTCATCATTCCACAATTAGAAAGACCTACCTGGCCTTGGATAACATTCCTAATTTGACCCTAACTACATCTTGACTATATGTATCTTTTTTTTTTGTATTCATCAGTAAATTGGTGCATAAATATTTTGTCATCTTTTACAACAATGTCTATTGTTTTGTTCTTGAGTTTTTATGTTTGCTAGCAATACAAAATGTGAACGAACATATATCACTCACACTTTATCAAGGTCGGCTAAGTGCAATTGTGGTGATTTTCATCTGCTAATTTTCAAGGGTGTTATCTGATACTTTATATTATACCAAAGGCACACATTTATATTTCGAAATTATATCAAATGCACACATTCGCACTCTAAATTATATCATAGAAACACATTGGAATTCCAGATTATACAAAGACACATCTTTTAATTCCAAATTATACCAAACCAATGCATTTGAATTCCAATTCATATTAGAGCAAACATGTGAATTTTCAACTTCTTATACTCTTATGTGTCCTGAGGAACTGAAACTTATCGTTGTCGTTTTTGGGCCCCCATTTGGTAAAAGGGTTGAGGGGGGGGGGGGGGGAGGGGGAAGGGGGAATAGACCCACTGTCACATAACAAGTATGTGATAAAAGGCGATTAAGTGGTACTGCTGAAATCGGATTTACTGGACCTAGAGACGCAGATACGACAGCCTAGCTGTAAACCACAACACAACGTTTTAAAGGTGAATAATAATAATAATAATATTAATAATAATAATAATAATAATAATAGGAATAAGAAGGAAGAAATAAGAATAAATAATAAAGAAGAAGACGAAGAATAAGTAAGAAGAAGAGAAGCAAGAAGAAGAAGAATAAAAGAAGAAGAAAAGAAAGAAGAAAAGAAGAAGAAGAACAGAAGAAGAAGAGAAGAAGAAGAAGAAGAAGAAGAAGAAGAAGAAGAAGAGAAGAAGGAAGATCGAAGAAGAAGAAGAAGAAAATAAGAAGAAGAAAAATGAAAAGAAAAACTTGAAAGAAGAAGAAGAAAGAAAGAAGAAAGAAAGAAGAAGAAGATGAGGATGGCAGGAGACTGATTAGAAGAGTAGTATTCACAAGAGAACTCGTTTAATGTGTTTAAAGTTGAAAAGGTGAAATTAGGAAAAAGATTTGGCCTGGAAAAAGGGAAGGGGGTGGGGAAGGGAGGAGAGAGAGAGAGAGAGAGAGAGAGAGAGAGAGAGAGAGAGAGAGAGAGAGAGAGAGAGAGAGAGAGAGAGAGAGAGAGAGATAATATGGAATGTCAGTCCTTCTCTGATACAGGCCGGGTACAGCAAATGATTAACCCAGTGGCCGATTTTAAACCTTTAGTTACATACGCTCGTGTACTCTACACCCACTTGCTTTAATGCTCAAAGTAAATAAGTACTTGTACACTAGTAGTGGCCTGTTTACCATAAACCTGTTCTGCGAGGTTAGCTGCCAGAAAAGCATACACATTTAAATTAAGATATACAGTTGTTTGAGTTGGTTTCTTTCCTAAGAAATTTAGTTGGTGTCTTTAAATTAGGACTATTTTAAAGACCTTTTTTCCACGTCGTCGTGCTAGATGAAATGATGATGAGAAGTATCATATCAGGAACCGAACCTGCTGCCTGAAAATGAGTACGGCTCCTCGCTGCGGAGACGTGAATAGTTCTATGCATAATTTGCTATTAACCCCTTCAAAAGATCCCATCATTACTGGGTTCTACCATACCCCTGAACCAGCAACTATGAAATATTGATAGAATTCAACAGTTACATCAATAACTAGTTTTCGGTTCTTTCGTAATATCCTACCCCAGATGACGTCACAGGAAAGTCCAACATTCTTGAGGGCGGTAAGACTGGGTTTTCCGGCTTTCTGATGCTGTTAACGACCACAAAACATCTAGAACTGTTCCTAATCCCAACCCACCTACGTCCCACTAGAGAGTGCAGCCTAGGTCCCACGACTGCATGCAACCAATCTATCGCCCCATGAAATATTAGACTTTCCCGTGACCTGTGGATTCCCCGTGTTTGGGGTAGGATATTAAGAAAGCACCCAGTTTTCGACTTTATTATGATTTCAGAATTTAAAACTCATAGCTCTATAAGATTTATCTCCAGGTATTAGGAGACGACTGCACTGCAGTCACACTGACGACAAAACTACTAAATACAATATAAACATTTATTGCGGACGACTGCATTCAAGATAATGCGACTAACATATTTATCAACAGAGTCCTAAAGACAACAGAGAGCAGTCGTGGTGTAGCGGTTAAAAGATTGCTTGGGGATCGGAAGGTCGTAGGTTTGAATCCTGACGTAGTCGGACTTTTTTTTTTCAGAAATGACCTTTGGCTCTGGCATCGACCCAGCCCTGAGTGGGTACCAGGCAAAGTTCTGAGAAGTAAAGGAGGCCGGTGTGGTGCTGACAACATCTACCCAGTAGCGACCGGTCTGTGATATATAGGTCTAGCCCTATATACCCAATCCGTCTGAAGGCGCGGAAAAGAATAGTTTTTACTAAGTAAAAAAGTAAGTAAAGATCCCTTTTCACGACTTTCGGCGCATCGGGCTTATGGGCAGAGCGTACCATATTTTTTTACAGTCCAATCATACTTGTTTACCAGAGAATTACAAGGCTGTCTTTACTTTCCCAGTGGCCCCAAGTAACCCATTTTAGGCGTGGTAACAAACATTCTACCCTCTCTTGCTCGAAGCCTACCTCACCTTCACGTGGTGGACCTGTTTTACTTCCCAGCTTTCCCAAGGACAGCCCATCCTGGTAAAATGGATGGGACATTTTAGGAGTGGGTCGACGAATGCGAGCCTACTCTCCCTCGAGTACCATCACAGTCAAAAATCCAAGGTGCTGAAGTCGGAGGCAGCCTGCAAGTGGTTTTACAGAAATCAGGACACGACATAGGCGAACGAAAGAAATTCAGCGGTCTCCCATACCACGCAAAAACCACGAGCTTCAGTCAGTTTGTATAACAAACTGTTGAAAATTCAGCGGACGCAACAACTGAGCTTCTCAGTTTGTATATCCGTTGAGTTTTCCAGTGATATTTTGTGTTGTATTTGATACTCCGTTGATAAAGACTTTGATCGAAATGTTGCATAGTATTTGTGTCTGTCTTTCCCATTTCCTCTGTTGACCTTTCTAGTCGCATTTTATGTTGTACTTAGCTATTCAATCCTTGGATGAAATATGCTAAGCAAAGGTAAGCTATATACTAATATATTTCTGCTCAGAACACATCTCTCTCTAAGACCTTCTTCTTCTTCGAGCTCACGGGCTGTAAACTCCGGGGGAAAGTTAGGCTTGTTTGCCTACCTGTGGCCTGTAGTCTTGTTCTACAGACCTGACATATGTGTAAGCAGACTGTTGAATTCCCTGTCTCTCAGGAAGACGCACTCCGACTTCGAAGAAAGCCCTCCCCCCTCCCCTCCCCACTTAAACGAATTTTACGGCATGGTTGTTAAAGAGGAAGTGAGTCTTTTCTCCCCCCCCCCCCCCACCACCCACAATAGGGCCCCAAAACCCACACAGGGATTCCCGAGTTCCAGACGTGCATCGGTTGACGTCGTTTTATAAGTACGTTTGAGTGAGTGACGTTCAACCCTATTAGGAGCGCAAAATTAGCAATAAACACTAGGTGACAAAAAGTGCCACTATTCGGATGAGAATCACCCAAGTACAAGTCTCAGAAACCCTCTTTAACCGTTTGATTATATTACGGCCCAAAACTAAAGCCGGTGTAGGGCTTCAGACAAATTTTAAAAAAAAAAATATTTGGTCCCATATCGGGGCTAGGTTTTGTAAATATGCAGTTACACAGAAGGGTTTGTAGAAGGGGCGACGGAGAGTGGGATCTCACCCCCCCCCCCCCTCCCCCACCGCAAGTTTGAATAGATGTTTTTGGGTATACTTACCCTACTATTTCAATTATATTATTATATTTATTTATTAATATACAGCACATTATTATTCTGCGAACTTCTTGTCAAAAGAGGTTCTGCCAGATATGTAGGTTAAACACAAAGCATAGTAACCCAACACAGAACTGTAGTTATCAGTCGCTGTGTACTGAGGAACGTACTTTATAATTCTGAAGATGAGATTCGAGCGCTTATGCACTTGCCTAATGTGCAATGAGGATGATCGGTCGATTATCTAACATTATTATTATTAAGCACGTAAGCAAGGCTCAAGTCCTTTCAGAACAACCCCCCCCCCCCCCCCACTTCCCCTTACCTTTTTTACTCTAGAGAATTTTAAAGGGCACTGTTCCCTTCATCCAATGTGTTCTTTCTGTTCGCGTTCATAGACAAATCATCACTGGGGAAGGGGGTGTCAGATACTAGTAGTACCTGTGGCAGGGTGACCGTCTTCTCCTTCTTAGGGCAGTTCTTCCCAAATATGCTAGGTCTAGCACTCACCTCTCCCTTGTGGCTCCCAGCAGCTGTCAGCATACGACAGGGACACCCCACCCCCCCCCCTCTCCCGTCCCTTTTTCCCCCACCCTCCCGGCAACAGTTTTGACAGGCTGGCTTAACCAGGAGAGGGTAGACGACGTGGTTCTAAACCAAACTGTGACTGGGAAATGCCTACTCTGCATGCAAAGACTGGACTGCGCGGATTGAACCTCTTATGGCTCAACGGACAAGAAGGCGATTACCAGCAGACTCTGTGGAGAGCCTGAGCAAGGCAGGGTACCTAAGACGCCTTGTTCATCCACTGAACCTAGGTCCATTTCCAATCGTCTCGACATTGTCTTGACATTGCATCAGGTTGGACAATTGCGACATAGTGAGCTCAACAACTCAACAACTCAAGTGAGCTCAACAAATTGCGCAACTCTTCCTGACTTAAATCCAAGTCTTCGCGCTTGTCACTTTCCCAGTTGTTACTACTTTGGATTAAAGCGATCTCCACCGCTCGGGATGGACGAACGAACATCGGCGTTAAAGATGATATGG